TTTTAGAATGAGGCAATGGTTCACTTTTGAAATTTTGGAACTGAATAAAATATTCTAATGGCAAGTAGAAAGCAGTTTAAAATGACCAGCAGCTGTCCACAGCTATCGGCAAAGTAGTGACCAAGTAACTTGACGTGGGTTGGAAATTAAAACACAAACAGTATCTGAGGCAAGAATGGAGGTCTGATATAATTTCTGTGTTCTGTTCCATTTCAGGAAAAAAGTTTCTATTTATCTCTGTGAAATGGTGGCAACAGCTGATCAACATAAGGAGGAATTCATTAATTTATACACTATCCCTTTAGTACATAAACAGTTTGGAATATGTTGTTGGTCCCATGCATGATTTCATATTGGGCAGCCAAATTAATGCCATTTCCTAACGACAACAGAGGTTTTTTGTTTTTTTTTTTAATCACATAAGAAATGTTTTATGTGCAACAACAGAAGATTTTATGTGAGGGGTAATCTGATTATTTCTTAATTTAGACCAGTATTTATATTAGCCAATCTCCTTAAATCTCAGTGTCAGCCTTTCAATTCATAGGACTGTGGAGAAGAAAGAAAGGAACCGCACACTTGGCCCCAGCTCAGGCCCCTTGATGGGCATGGAAAAAAAGGTCTTTGCCATTTTATTTTTAAAGTGAACAAGTTGGGGGGGGGCACCTGGGTGGCTCAGTCAGTTGAGTGTTGATTCTTAGTTTTGGCTCAGGTCATGATCATAGGGTTGTGGGATCGAGCCCCCCCACCCCACCCCGGTGCTTAACACCGAGTCCACTTGGGATTCTTTCCCCCTCTGCTCCTTCCTCCCCATCCCAACTGGGGTGTGAGTGCTCTCTCGCTCTCTCTCAAATAAATAAATTAATTAATTAAAAAAAATCTTTAAAAAAAAAGGCTAACAAGTTGGAATTGAGACAAAATGATCTAGATACTTATAACATCTTCACCATTCCTTTATGAATTTCACACGTTACCCCTGAAAGAAGTACTTTTTCTCTGATAGTACTGTGGTTGGGAGGATAGACTCTGTGCATTTTTAAACTGTCTGGCTTTGAATCCCAGCTCTAGCACTCACTAGCTGGGGGACCCAGGATGTTATTTGCCTCATCTGTAAAACAGAAACAATAATACTATCTATTTTGCAGGTTGTTGTGAAGATAATGGGTTAGTGTACGTAAAAATTAACAGTCAAAAAGTTAGCCATTTTGATGTTGACAATAATGATATTTGAAGGTTGAACTTGACTTCATTACAGGGTGCTGGGTATTTTACATTTCCATAGTTATCACTTCCAAACACTGGAAGTCCCAGTTAGGATGTGTGGAAGATTGGTGTTCTTGGAGGAAGCAGTAATTCTAACCTGCACCCTCCCCCCCTTGGGACAATGCTGACGTGAATGGTTCCAGGTTTCCTAAATTTCCCACTCCCCTCCTTCCCTCACTCCTGGATCACTGGAAAAGCCTGGTGCCCCACTGGGTACACAGCTGTGAAATCTCTTTACTGGGCCAGTGGTGTGGCCCACTTTTGAGGGAAATAGAAAGCAGCTCTGTTATCCTGAGGAAGAAACAGACAGAGATAGAGTAGATTGCTAGTACTTTCTGGGAACAAGGAAGTCAATTAGTTGGAATAGCTCATTAATAATCGCTTTACATTGATTACATTTTGAAGTGAAAATATTTTGGATATATTGGGTTAAATAAAATTACTGATTAATTTTTACCATTTCTTTTTACTTTTTGTTATTTGGCTAATAAAACATTTAAAATTCCGTATGTGGCTCAATGTACTTCTATTGGACTGCATATGTTCTGTTGGAGGAACAGGAGAATTTCTGAAGGCCACCACAGGTCTTTGCCTTGTCTAACGGTGTCCCAGTTAGGATGTGTGGAAATGATACCTGCCTTCTGTGGGAGATTGGTGAAGGCCATTTCTGACCACAGTTTTAGTGTGGGCCAAGTAGACGAAAAGGACATGAGGGGAAAGTGTCCCCCCTCCCAGGGCCCATGGCAAGCATTCTGAAATAGCAGAATGTATGCACCAGACAGTAGCTGCGACTTTGGAATCATCAGGTAAGCCCTCCACGAGACAACCAAAATCAGGATACTACAGCATTTCATAAGGTTTAAAGTGCTGTGCAAATGAAAGGTTCTAACAAGTATCAATAATCTATTGACAAAGTAAAATTAGTCAATGGTCAATGTAAATTTCCTTACTAAAAGTCAACTTGATACTCCCCATTCAAGGTACAGTTCAAATATCTATTTGGGGCCTCGTGAGTTACCAATTCTTCATCTGGATAACATGTCATGTTAGCCCCAAGGCAAGGATCAGTGTGTCTGGCTTTCTGATTATGTTTACCCTAGGTTTCCCCTACTCTTTGGGAATCTTGGCCATGAATCCATGCAGAAGCAAACCTGGATAATATTTGCTGATAGTGTCAATGCCACTATCATAAAGGGCCCTCATAATCTTCATCTGGTGTCCTCAAGCCATAAACAGGCAATCTAAATAAAAACACAGCTTCAAAGCAAACCTCCTACTCCCCTACTCTTTCTAACCAGACTTCTAGCTCCAAGCCCCTTCCATTTGGCAACTCTGGAGCTGCCCCTGGCTTAATAGTAAATAAAGGGGGGAAATAAATATTCATATAAATGTGTGTGTGTGTGTGTGTTTAGACAGGGAGACTTAAAAATCGACATATAGCAAGGATTGAGTTCTCATGATAAAAGGCAAATTGACTTGAAAACAGGGGAACCTGTTGAAAATCACTGCCTTTATGTTTTATAATATATTTATGCAATGGGTTAGTCATGATCAAAGGAGAGACCTTTTCCTCCTGTTGTCTTCCTCTAAAGGATTTAGGGAATAATAATCCTGTTCACAAGCATGTGGTCCCCTCAGAGCCCATTCCCAAGCTATTTAAGTGGCTGGGGATAGGGGCTATTTTTAATTATACACTCAAGAATCACAGATGAGACTCCAAGAACTGACCTCCCAATTCTCACCAGGCCAAGACCGGCACTGCCCAACTCAGAAAGGGTTTATGGCCTCTAAGTTGGATTCTAAGTCGTTTAGTGGAACTGGAAATGCTTTTTCTCTCATAGATACGTGTTCTGCATCTTTGTCCCGACCCAAAAAAGTTGATTTAACTCCTAACATGACATCAAAAGTTTCTACTAGTAACGCAAAAGAAAGGCGTAGAAGCCATGCCGGTTTCTACATCACAGCCTTTCTGCTGTACAAACGCCCTGGTTCAGGGTGGAATGGAAGAGGCAGGGTCCTGCAGTGCTACCTCAGTTCATAAGGGGGTACCTTCCTGTCACTTATGGATTCAGACCAGCTTCCGTCCTGACGGAGAATGGGGTAGGAGTGTGAGGACAATGGGGACCAGGGAGAAGAGAACATAGCCATGAATCAGTTCACGTAGGAGGACAGGTGTCCTTCCCCACCCCGGAGGAGGAGCATATGAAGATAATCCACAGCAGTGATGGAGGTGGGAAGTAAGATAAAGTTACTGCTTTAGTTTCTACAGCTCAGACCTGCTAATGGTAGGCACTGTCTAGCTCTTTCTTTTCTCCAAGACTGTGGCAGGCGGGAGTCACTGCCGACTGCTTACTCCCTGTAGGGTCAGTCTTGTTCTTTTGAAGAGTGGGAAGAGGGGTCGGGCGCCTGGGTGGCTCAGTTGGTTAAGCGACTGCCTTCGGCTCAGGTCATGATCCTGGAGTCCCTGGATCGAGTCCCGCATCGGGCTCCCTGCTCGGCAGGGAGTCTGCTTCTCCCTCTGACCCTCCCCCCTCTCATGTGCTCTCTCTCATTCTCTCTCTCTCAAATAAATAAATAAAATCTTTAAAAAAAAAAAAAAAAGAGTGGGAAGAGGGGCTACCAAAACTCCTCCGCCCCACCTTCTGGTAAGAGGCCATGCTCAGACACATCCCGGGCTCTGCTACCTGTGTTACGCCTGGGGAGGCTCAAACTCACAGCGACACGGAACTAACTGCTAAGCTTGCCCCAAACTAGGACAGCATGCCATTCCCAAACCTGGGCTCCTGTCTTCAGTTCCCCGGGACAGCCTCTGGCTTGCTCGGTCATGGAACCAGCTGGACGTGCCTAACTCCCATCCCTGAGATGGACCAGCCATTCCTGTGTGTAGCTTTGTGCTCAGCAAATGCATGACTATAAGCTGAAGAACAACTGTAGATATTTCTGATAGTGATATGAAGAGGGTATTTTGTAAGAAGATACAAATGCCTCCTTTAGAGGGATTGCAAAAGCTTAGCAAGAGGTTTCCCCAAGCAACCATCTTTCCCTTTAATTATCATTATGGACATAATATAATGTCCACTTTTTTTTTTCATGGCCACAAAGAGTTACGCTCCTAATATGTAAATTGGGAAACTTGTAAAGTCTGTGTTTGTTGAACTTTTAGGGCAAGTAATGAATGCTCTGAGCTTACCAACAGGGATGCTTCTCACTTGGGACCATTCTAAATGGCAGCTAGAATGCTGGGTGTCAGGTACCACATTTTGTGTTGGGAGAAACAGAAGGCAAAGCATGGAGAACACACACCAGTGAATGGGGAATACCTAGAGGCGAACTGCAGCTCGGGAAAGTCAGGTTGTAGCTGATACCCATCCACAGGTGAAAGGGGCTGCCTCCTCCTCAGGCACGAAGCCAGGCTGGCAGAGGCGGACAGGGACATATCCCCCCTTGTAACTCTAGGCTGGGGGTCTGGGCCGGCTTAGCGGAGGGCCAAGGATCCCTTTCAGGGGGACTGTATTAGGTGTGAGAAAACACTGGCATAGAGCTGCTGAAGGCCAGAGTTAGGGGAGGAAGGAAGTGGGGTGAAGGTGAGCAGCGAGAAGAGAAGGCTCTAGACCTCAAGAATCAGAACTTATTTTTAGAAGTTGCAAAGGCATGGCCGTGGACAGTGTGGGAGCGAGAGGGGAGAGAGTGAGAAGGCTGCTCAGAGCTGGGCTGTGGAACGAAGTGAGTTAACTCACCGTGAAAGGCAAGGAGCAGACCGCAAAGGTGATGGTCATAATAGCCAGGAGAATGAGGTGGTCCGTCTCCTCCGCCATGGACACCCTTTCCCCTCTCCTGCGGGTCCCAGGGCCATGCCGGCAGCTGCCCAAGTTGGGTCCGCAGCGACTTCTCCTGCTCCGACGGTGCATGCGGATGAGGTTGAGGATGACACTGAAGTTGCAGGCGAGCACCGCGACGATGAGGAGCAGTAGCACGGTGGCGTACAGCTGCAGGTACGTGGTGTCCTCGGGCTGGATGAAGCACCACGTCCCGGGGCAGTACTGGACGTACTGCTTGGAGTCCAGCAACGGCAGGGAGCAAAAGAGCAGAGAGACCGTGTAGATGGCGGGCAGCACGGCCAGGCCGCCTCGGCGCGTGACCCAGCGCTGGTAGAAGTAGGGGTGCCCGATGGCTAGGTAGCGCTCCAGGGCCATGGCGAAGAGCATGAGCATCGTGGCCAGGCTGAAGAAGGTCATGGCGAAGGCGAAGTAGGTGCACGCGCGGCGCTTAGGCGCCAGTGCCACCAGGGTCTGGTTCCGAGCGTAGGAAGCCAGCACCACCGGGCTGATGAGGCAGGTCCCAAGCAGGTCGGTGAACACCAGCTTTGTCACCAGCACGTGGAACAGAGAGATAGAGTTGCCGCGTCCTGCGCTGCGTCCCGCGTCCCCCTGCCAGCGGCGCGCCAGCAGCGCCAGCGCGATGAGGTTCCCCAGCACCCCGGCCGAGAACATCACCGAGCTGATGGCCGGGCTTTCGCCGGAGCGGAGCCACTCCAGAGACCTGCAGTCTTTCGGCAAGGAGTCATTGGAGATATTGCCCATGGCGGAGTGCCGGGAGGAGAGATGCGCCCTCCTCTCCCGGCTCGTACCTGGGAGGACGAGGGTCTGAGAGCAGGAGTGCTCCGAGAAGCTGAAGGAAAGGGGGAGGGACCCAAGTCCAGAGCCCCCTTCCGGCCCCCAGCGCGCCCAGGGAAGGCTCGGCCCCAGGGCTCGCGTTGCTCTCGGAGAGGCCACCGCTAGGCTGCAGCATCCGGGCGGCGCTCGAGGCTCCTTTGCCGAGCCGCGCCCACCTCAGCCGGGAGCCCGCACCCAGGGGCAGCCGCCACCGCTTCCGCACCCTCCTGGGGACGGACTCAGACGCGGGGACGGACTCAGACGCGGGGTCACGGCGCCTGGGGCTAGCGCCCGCCAGCTACCCAAGGGCTGGAACGCGCGCCACACCCCGTGGGGGCACTGCGAGTCCCTCAGCCGGGACGGGGAGAAGAGAGGGCCGGAACGCCCGCCCCGCGCGGCGCTGGGCGGGGGCGCGGTGCCCCCCGTTCCGTTCCCTCGGGGTTGGGTGCTGGAAGCCGCACGGCCGCTGACCTTGGCTAGGAAGCGTTTAGCCCCAGCAGAGGGCCGGGAGGGAGTGCGGGGCACTTGTGCGGTGTGCGCAGAATTCACCCAAGGCAACAACGGGAAAGCAAAGTGACTCACCGAACAATAGAGAAGGTAGAAGGACCCAGTCCCGGGAGATGTGTGTAAGAAGGGAACAACAGGCACCAAAGATCTCTTGCAGTAGAACCAATATCTTCTTTTTCTTTTTCTTTTGACATTCTCAGGAAGATAAACTAAGAAGGCGGGACCAGAATTAGGAGGAAGTGAAAAGCTCGCCTGGTTGTCCAAGGAACCAAACCCTGCGCACCGCTGAGCTATCTGTTGCGCTGTTGGCTTTGATTCAGTTGCCAGCATTTCGCCTTTTCCTATGTCAACACCCTAACGGATCCCCACTTGTTTAAGTAAGCAAGAAAAGAAAGAAAAGAAAAGAAAAAGAAAGAAATGTTCCTTGTGTATAGAACTGTGTTTGTGAACACAGCTTGAAATCATTGCACATTGTTCTCTAGTCAAGCACAGCCTTGAAAGAAAATCTTGTTCAGGATTAATTTCTTCACGATAACCGTGCAGAGCACATCTGGAAAGACCCATTCCTGGTAAAGCTTTTTAGTAAGTGGCCAGTTTTAGAAACTAGAGCTGACAAAAGTAGACAACACTTCTGTGTTGTCACAATTGCAGACTCCTGAAAATGGGCTGGTGTTTAAAACTGTTT